TCTTATGACGTCACCAACATCTTATGACGTCACCAGCATCTTATGACGTCACCAGCATCTTCTGACGTCACATACACACACATACAATCACTCAACATGTAACTAAATATCTTAAAACACAATTATCTAAAATATTAATAAACAAGATATAGAGTTTATAGTCAACCTTCCTTAGACAAATACTAAAACCTGTATGAAAAATTCTTAGCTGTTCTGTCTATAATGGTTCTTGTATGAATATTTAATGTATAATGAATAACCTCTCAATATCGTGATGTATGTGTCATGGTTGATTATTGGAACATTTACTGTCTGTCTGTCTGTCTCTTGCTTTCTTTCTGTCTGTCTGTCTCTTTCTTTCTTTCTGTCTGTCTGTCTGTCTCTTGCTTTCTGTCTGTCTGTCTGTCTGTCTCTTGCTTTCTTTCTTTCTGTCTGTCTGTGTCTTGCTTTCTGTCTGTCTGTCTGTCTGTCTTGCTTTCTTTCTGTCTGTCTGTCTGTCTCTTGCTTTATGTCTGTCTGTCTGTCTGTCTTTTGCTTTCTTTCTGTCTGTCTGTCTGTCTCTTGCTTTCTGTCTGTCTGTCTCTTGCTTTCTGTCTGTCTGTCTCTTTCTTTCTTTCTGTCTGTCTGTCTGTCTGTCTCTTTCTTTCTTTCTGTCTGTCTGTCTGTCTCTTGCTTTCTTTCCTTCTGTCTGTCTGTCTCTTGCTTTCTTTCTGTCTGTCTGTCTCTTTCTTTCTTTCTGTCTGTCTGTCTGTCTCTTGCTTTCTGTCTGTCTGTCTGTCTGTCTTTGCTTTCTTTCTGTCTGTCTGTCTGTCTCTTGCTTTCTGTCTGTCTGTCTCTTGCTTTCTGTCTGTCTGTCTCTTTCTTTCTTTCTCTGTCTGTCTGTCTGTCTCTTTCTTTCTTTCTGTCTGTCTGTCTGTCTCTTGCTTTCTTTCTTTCTGTCTGTCTGTGTCTTGCTTTCTGTCTGTCTGTCTGTCTGTCTCTTGCTTTCTTTCTGTCTGTCTGTCTGTCTCTTGCTTTATGTCTGTCTTCTGTCTGTCTCTTTCTTTCTTTCTGTCTGTCTGTCTGTCTGTCTCTTTCTTTCTTTCTGTCTGTCTGTCTGTCTCTTGCTTTCTTTCTTTCTGTCTGTCTGTCTCTTGCTTTCTGTCTGTCTGTCTGTCTGTCTCTTGCTTTCTTTCTGTCTGTCTGTCTGTCTTGCTTATGTCTGTCTGTCTGTCTGTCTCTTGCTTTCTGTCTGTCTGTCTGTCTGTCTCTTGCTTTCTTTCTGTCTGTCTGTCTGTCTCTTGCTTTCTTTCTGTCTGTCTGTCTGTCTCTTGCTTTTCTTTCTGTCTGTCTGTCTGTCTCTTGCTTTCTTTCTGTCTGTCTGTCTTGTCTCTTGCTCTTTCTGTCTGTCTGTCTGTCTCTTGCTTTCTTTCTGTCTGTCTGTCTGTCCTCTTTCTTCTGTCTGTCTGTCTCTTGCTTTCTGTCTGTCTGTCTGTCTCTTGCTTTCTTTGTCTGTCTGTCTGTCTTGCTTTCTTTCTGTTTGTCTGTCTGTCTCTTGCTTTCTTTCTGTCTTGTCTGTCTCTTGCTTTCTGTCTGTCTGTCTGTCTTGCTTTCTTTCTGTTTGTCTGTCTGTCTCTTGCTTTCTTTCTGTTTGTCTGTCTGTCTCTTGCTTTCTTTCTGTCTGTCTGTCTCTTTGCTTTCTTTCTGTCTGTCTGTCTGTCTCTTGCTTTCTTTCTGTCTGTCTGTCTCTTGCTTTCTGTCTGTCTGTCTGTCTCTTGCTTTCTTTGTCTGTCTGTCTGTCTCTTGCTTTCTTTCTGTTTGTCTGTCTGTCTCTTGCTTTCTTTCTGTCTGTCTGTCTCTTGCTTTCTGTCTGTCTGTCTGTCTCTTGCTTTCTTTCTGTTTGTCTGTCTGTCTCTTGCTTTCTTTCTGTTTGTCTGTCTGTCTCTTGCTTTCTTTCTGTCTGTCTGTCTCTTGCTTTCTGTCTGTCTGTCTCTTGCTTTTCTTTCTGTCTGTCTGTCTCTTGCTTTCTTTCTGTCTGTCTGTCTGTCTCTTGCTTTCTTTCTGTCTGTCTGTCTGTCTCTTGCTTTCTTTCTGTCTGTCTGTCTCTTGCTTTCTCTGTCTGTCTGTCTGTCTCTTGCTTTCTTTGTCTGTCTGTCTGTCTCTTGCTTTCTTTCTGTTTGTCTGTCTGTCTCTTGCTTTCTTTCTGTCTGTCTGTCTCTTGCTTTCTGTCTGTCTGTCTCTCTTGCTTTCTTTCTGTTTGTCTGTCTGTCTCTTGCTTTCTTTCTGTTTGTCTGTCTGTCTCTTGCTTTCTTTCTGTCTGTCTGTCTCTTGCTTTCTTTCTGTCTGTCTGTCTGTCTCTTGCTTTCTTTCTGTCTGTCTGTCTCTTGCTTTCTGTCTGTCTGTCTGTCTCTTGCTTTTCTTTGTCTGTCTGTCTCTTGCTTTCTTTCTGTTTGTCTGTCTGTCTTGCTTTCTTTCTGTCTGTCTGTCTCTTGCTTTCTGTCTGTCTGTCTGTCTCTTGCTTTCTTTCTGTTTGTCTGTCTGTCTCTTGCTTTCTTTCTGTCTGTCTGTCTGTCTCTTGCTTTCTTTCTGTCTGTCTGTCTCTTGCTTTCTGTCTGTCTCTTGCTTTCTTTCTGTCTGTCTGTCTCTTGCTTTCTGTCTGTCTGTCTCTTGCTTTTCTGTCTGTCTGTCTGTCTCTTGCTTTCTGTCTGTCTGTCTCTGCTTTCTTTCTGTCTCTGTCTGTCTCTTGCTTTCTGTCTGTCTGTCTGTCTCTTGCTTTGTCTCTTTCTTTCTGTCTGTCTGTCTGTCTCTTCTGTCCTGTCTCTGTCTCTTGCTTTCTTTCTGTCTGTCTGTCTCTTGCTTTCTCTGTCTGTCTCTTGCTTTTTTGTCTGTCTGTCTCTTGCTTTCTGTCTGTCTCTCTTGCTTTCTTTCTGTCTGTCTGTCTTCTCCTTTCTTTCTGTCCTGGCCTGTCTCTTACTTTCTTTCTATCTGTCTGTCTGTCTCTTGCTTTCTTTCTATCTGTCCTGTCTATCTCTTGCTTTCTTTCTGTCTGTCTGTCTGTCTCTTGCTCTTTCTGTCTGTCCTGTCTGTCTCTTGCTTTCTTTTCTTTTCTGTCCTGTCTGTCTCTTGCTTTCTGTCTGTCTGTCTGTCTCTTGCTTTCTTTCTGTCTGTCTGTCTGTCTCTTGCTTTCTTTCTTTCTGTCTCTGTCTGTCTCTTGCTTTCTTTCCTGTCTGTCTGTCTCTTGCTTTCTCTGTCTGTCTGTCTGTCTGTCTCTTACTTTCTGTCTGTCTGTCTCTTGCTTTCTTTCGCCTGTCCTGTCCTGTCTCTTGCTTTCTTTCTGTCTGTCTGTCTGTCTCTTGCTTTCTTTCTGTCTGTCTTTCTGTCTCTTGCTTTCTTTCTGTCTGTCTGTCTCTTGCTTTCTTTGTCTGTCTGTCTGTCTCTTGCTTTGTAATGCTGTCTCTGTCTGTCTGTCCTCTTTGCTTTCTGTCTGTCTGTCTCTGTCAGTCTCTCTTGCGCCTCTTTCTGTCTGTCTGTCACCCAGCCCTACTGCTTTCTTTCTGTGTCTGTCTGTCCCTGTCTCTTTGCTTTCTTTCTGTCTGTCTGTCTCTGTCTCTTGCTTTCTTTCTGTCTGTCTGTCTGTCTGTCTCTTGCTTTTCTGTCTGTCTGTCTGTCATGTCTCTTGCTTTCTTTCTGTTTCTCTTGTCTCTTGCTTTCTTTCTGTCTGTCTGTCTGTCTCTTGCTTTCTTTCTGTCATCTGTCTGTCTCTTGCTTTCTTTCTGTCCTGTCTGTCTCTTGCTTTCTGTATGTCTGTCTGTCTGTCTCTTGCTTTCTTTCTCTGTCCTGTCTGTCTGTCTCTTGCTTTCTTTCTGTCTGTCTACTGTCTGTCTCTTGCTTTCTTTCTGTCTGTCTGTCTGTCTCTTGCTTTCTTTCTGTCTGTCTGTTTCTCTCTTCCACACACACATACATACATACACATACAGTACTCACACACATGCATACATACATACATACACACATACGTTCACTTATAATCATACATACAGCATACACACGCACACAGTACTCACACACACATACAAATATATTCACATGTACACACACACACACAATCCAACCCAAATCTGTCCTAATCTGTCCTAATCTGACCTAATCTGTCCTAATCTGACCTAATCTGACCTAATCTGTCCTAATCTGACCTAATCTGTCCTAATCTGACCTAATCTGACCTAATCTGTCCTAATCTGACCTAATCTGTCCTAATCTGTCCTAATCTGACCTAATCCACCCGAATCCATCATCTTTACTATGAAACATGAATACTTACACACTTATATTTACACTTACACACTTTAGTCAAGTCTCAGGGTTAATAAAGTAAATTAAGAGTGTCTTCAAGAATACTTATACACTTACACTTATACACTACAGTGGTTCTCAGACTTTTTCCTAGTCTTACCCTTATTTAAAGTCTGATAGGTTACCTCAATCTATAATTTTACTCCATAATTCTATTCAATAAAGTTTAATATACAAAAACACACAATTCTAGTCCGTCTTATACAAAACTCACTAAGAGAGATACAGTGGTGTTATACCTCAATAATTACCCTGAGTTTGAGAACCACTGCATTACTGGGTTAAGTAATAAGTAATAAACTCTCATCCCCAGAAATATCCAGATAATGGGGAAAATTTCTCAGAATTTCCCAGAAGAGTGACCCTGTGAAAATCGTTCCCCAAGCCGGAATTTCCTGTGAGGAATTCCTACCTTGGGAACGATTTTCACTGGAGATATAAAATCCGGCCATCGGAGAGTTCCTGGTCTGAGGGATTCTGGGTAACGGAGATATTACTTATAATGTACTTATACACTACAGGGCTAAGTAATAAAGTAGCTATTAAAATTAACTACAACAATACTTATACACTACAGGGTTAAGTAATAAAGTAAAAATAGTAATAATAAGTACAACAATACTTATATAATTATACTTAAATAATAAAAGGTTAATTAAGACAACTAGTGTAGTAAGATCGACCATTATATTGAGTGTGAAAGTACTTAAATGAAAAGGTCATAACAAATTATTTTATAAGTTACTTAAATAAGCTACTTACAGGAAATATCACTTACAAAAACTGTCACTTATGGCAATATCACTTAAATGACCTACCTATGGATTTAAGTAACTTGTGAGAAATAAATTACACATGGAAATAAGTTACTTAAGGAAATTTATAAGTTACTTACAGAAATAACATGGAAAAATATATTGAGAAATTGTTCTACAGTAAAACCCCCATTTAACGAACTATATAGAGACGAGTTCGTTATATCGAGGGTTCGTTAGATGTGAAACCCTCATTTAACGAACTATATAGAGACGAGTTCGTTATATCGAGGGTTCGTTAGATGTGAAACCCCCATTTAACGAAATATATAGAGATGAAAGTCCATCATATCGAGATTCCGTTAGATGTGAAAACCCCCATTTAACGGAATAAACAAAAAAGTCCATTATATCGAGGTTCCACTGCAGTAATAAATAAACAATAACAAAGGTGCTAAACAACTTATGTAATTAATGACATGATATTAAGCTTTGTTTATGTAACTAATGACATGATATTAAGCTTGGTTTACGTAACTAATGACATGATATTAAGCTTTGTTTACGTAACTAATGATAAAAGTGTAAAACAGAGTGACACATTGACCCAGAGGACTACAGTAACTGTCAGAGGAAAGTACTTGTGTATCAGAGCCTGTGTTAGAGACAGTACCTTCGTCAGTACCTGTCACAAAAAATACCTTAGTCAGTACCTGTCAGAGAAAGTACCTTTGTCAGTACCTGTCAGAGACAGTACCCCTGTCAGTACCTGTCAGAGACAGTACCCCTGTCAGTACCTGTCAGAGACAGTACCCCTGTCAGTACCTGTCAGAGACAGTACCCCTGTCAGTACCTGGCTAGAGCAGCACCCTGTCAGCACCTGTCAGGAGAAAGCACCCCTGTCAGTACCTGTCAGGAGACAGTACCCTGTCAGTACCTGGCCAGAGAAAGCACCACCAGGGCACCTGTCAGAGACAGTACCCCTGTCAGTACCTAATAGAGAAAGTATCTCTGTCAGTACCTGTCAGGAGAGAATTTGCCGTACTTCTGTGTCAAAAGAAGGCACATGTGTGTCAGTACCTGTCAGAGACAGTACCCCCTGTCAGCACTCACTGGGGAGAAAGTACTCCCTGTCAGTACCTGCATCAGAGACAGGCACCCCTGTCAGTACCTGTCAGAGAAAGTACCCCTGTCAGTACCTGTCAGAGACAGCACCCCTGTCAGCACTGTCAGAGAAAGCACTTTGTCAGTACCTGTCAGAGAAAGTACCCCTGTCAGTACCTGTCAGGAGACAGTACCCTGTCAGTACCTCATTGGGAGAGTACTTTTGTCAGTACCTGTCAGAGAAAGTACCTGTCAGTACCTGTCAGAGACAGTACCCCTGTCAGTACCTGTCAGAGAAAGTACCTTTGTCAGTACCTGTCAGAGAAAGTACCCCTGTCAGTACCTGTCAGAGAAAGTACCCCTGTCAGTACCTGTGTCAAAAGAAGGTACATGTGTGTCAGTACCTGTCAGAGACAGTACCCCTGTCAGTACCTGTCAGAGAAAGTACCTTTGTCAGTACCTGTCAGAGACAGTACCTTTGTCAGTACCTGTGTCAAAAGAAGGTACATGTGTGTCAGTACCTGTCAGGGAAAGTACCTGTGTGTGTCAGTACCTATCAGGGAAAGTACCTTTGTCATTACCCATCAGAGAAAGTACCTTTGTCAGTACCTATCAGAGAAAGTACTTGTGTGTCAGTACAAGTATTTGAGTCAGTAGCTGTCACTGTCAGAGAAAGTACCTTTGTCAGAAATGGAAATATTGCATTTTGAAACTAATTTATACGTGACCTTATGTAAAGAGAGAAAGAGAGAGAGAGAGAGAGAGAGAGAGAGAGAGAGAGAGAGAGAGAGAGAGAGAGAGAGAGAGAGAGAGAGAGAGAGAGAGAGAGAGAATGTGTACCGTACCTGTATACGACAAATTAACAATAGACCACAATTCCAGGAATGTCGTGCGATAAAACGTAAACAATAACAATAATAATAATAATAATAATAATAATAATAATAATAATAATAATAATAATAATAATTCAATGGGGCAAAATTTCCACAAGTGTTTACATAAATTTCGTCAACATCGAGGACAAATGTATCGACGTGTCCGGTCATTTCTTCTCACGCTCGAGGTTAGGTTAGGGTTAGGTTGGGCTGGGCTAGGCTAGGCTGGGCTGGGTTGGGCTACATTCAAATCAAGCCTTACCGAAAACATTCCCCGATTTACGAAAAGATTTACACCGTTGCTGGAGAAAAAAAAAAAAGAAAAAATCCTGACCGTAAACCAAATCGTAAATCGTGGAACTCCCGTATTTCACAACAAGACATCCCAAACCTCTCTCCAGTTTCCGCCACATTTACACACGGGCACAAACCCACTCGTAAAAAAAAAAAAAAGAGTAATCCCGTCCGCGTCAACCAACCCCGTAGATTAATCCGCGTAAATCAGGCGTCGTCGTGCGGGAGGGCTTCCATTTACGACGGATCGATTTACAATGGGTTGGCTCGATTGGACGGAAGCCTCGAGTTCTGCCTGTCTTACCCAATGAGAAACCGAGCGTAAAATGACAACGAAAATAAATAAATCTACCTTGGGGTCTATACAAGGAGGTGAGGTGAGGTGGAGAGAGAGAGAGAGCGAGAGCGAGAGAGAGAGAGCGAGCGAGAGAGAGAGAGCGAGCGAGAGGGAGAGAGCGAGAGGGAGAGGGAGAGAGAGAGAGAGAGAGAGAGAGAGAGAGAGAGAGAGAGAGAGAGAGAGAGAGAGAGAGAGAGAGAGAGAGAGAGAAATCTTAATATTACAACAATCAATAAAAAAAATTCAGTGAACATTAATTATAATATATAATTTCTATATCTAACTGAGGCTATAATTAAATGTTCTATAAAAGTTCTTCTGGTGACAAAATGTTCTGCTGGCTGGGTGATAAAATTGTTCTTTGTTTTGTGATGGTGAAATGTTCTTCTTGTGGCGGTGATAACAAGTCTGTCCGTTCTTCTGGTGATGAAATGTTCTTATGAAATGTTGTTCGTTTAGGTGACCTGACTGATTATAGATACCAGACGAGAGAGAGAGAGAGAGAGAGAGAAAAAGAGAGAGAACAAAATAAAACAATAATAATAATAAAACAATAACAGAGGAATAAAAGAAAAACAAAAAAACACAGACGAAAAAAACCAAACAAACACAATTCTGGTATATACAAAAATTTTAAGTAAAAAAATTTGTCAAAAAAAAGGTGGATTTAAATTTTTTTTGTAGAATCCACAGGCATAAGGGGAAGCTTACAACTATCCGAGCATCTACGTACATATTTTATCTAAGGTATTAGTACTATGTATATTTTGTATATATATATGTATATAAAAAAATCACAAAACTAAACAGCCAATGGGGTGATAACTCGATGAGAAATTATATACGTACAGAATTAATCCACGGATATACAAAAAATGAAAGGGGAGGGGAGGGTGTTAAAATTATATTATGTTTGGGTCTTTTTCCCCCCTGTGTGTTTTGTTTGGCGTTTAAATCGGGTAATAATAATAATAATGAGACGATGAAAGGAACAATAATTCTCGTGATGTTATGTTTGTTGTGAAATCAGTGATCGTAATTATGGGGGAGGTGAATGACTTGGGGTATATGTGTGTGTGGGGGGGGGGTGGGTGTTAGGGGGTTGGGGGGGGATATAGCTTGGCAGTTCGGCCGCTTAAGTGTCGTCGGCCGTCGTTTCGTCGGTCGGGCAGCTATTGCTCAAGTCTTCCTTGGATAAAGATGGAGTCTTGGTTCGCTCCCCACACGACTCCAATCCCCCGTCTTCCTCGACCTCGGAGCCGTGGGTCGGGTCACTGGCCGGGTCGACCTGGTCCTCGATGATGGCGTTGACGGCCGGGGCGAGGCTGGACGGTGATTGGGGGTCAGGGCTGGGCAGTAGGAGGCTCACGTAGCTGCTCTGCACCGGTTTGTGCTTGGCCAGCTGTTTCACCGCTTCCTCTAGGCTGAACCACTTGCGTTTTCGACCTATTGTGGGGATACGTTGATGTAGCGTACAGTGGTAGTGCCTTAACCTAACCCTAACTTAACCAAACCTAACCTAACCTAACAGCAACCAACAGTGCTCCTCAACCTAACTTAACCTAAACTTAACAAAATCTAACCCAAACTTTCAGTAACCTAAACCTCATTTAAATACCCAAAAACTCATTATAAATTACTTAACTCAGAAAACAAGGCTAAAAAAATATATATCATGACCCTGCTAAGTACACAGACAGGGAGAGACAGAAACAGTCACTCCGCCACCCCCTACAATACCTTAACCAAAACAGTGGCTCGGCAAAAAATAAGTTCCTCACCAAATACTTTCGATTCGTCCCATTCCTCCATCTCTTCCTTCACCACCAAGACGTAAACACTCGTCCGATGCCCACGCTCCGAATTCTGTAAACAAATAAATAAAAAGACGCAATTCATAACAACGAACTTTCGGAACTTTACGCATCTTGAAAGAGTCGATTAAGATGCGTTTCTGAGTTCCTAGGGGTGGAGTTAATGGTATGAACGAGGCCATTGGTAGTTTTGGTCAATGGGTTACCTGATGATTAGCTCCCCAAAGTCGTTACCTGAAGATTAACTCCCTCAAGTGCTCACCTGTAGATTAACCCCCAAGTGCTCACCTGAAGATTAACCCTCAAGTGCTCACCTGAAGATTAACCCCCAAGTGCTCACCTGTAGATTAACCCCCAAGTGCTCACCTGAAGATTAACCCCCAAGCACTCACCTGAAGATTAACCCCCAAGTGCTCACCTGAAGATTAACCCCCAGCTTAACCACCCTGAAACTATCTGGGATCAAGGGGCTAATGCTCAGATAACCCATAACGACTAAAATCCACCAAATGACCTCGTTCACCTCAACTACACCACATATCAAGCATTATCTCAACATTTCACGTGATTTTCTTAGATATTAATAATCATTCCAATTGATAAACACTCAGATGGAAAAAACTTGGATTTGCCAACAATGTAAAAGCAACGCTAAGTTGACAATTTACTCCCTAATACAGTACTAAAAACAGGGATTAATTCTGGCTTTACCGTGACATGCGACAAGCAAATAAACAAATCGGAATCAGACGTTCGTGCGTGTAAACAAACAAAGGCGTGTGTTTGTTGTGAAGGATGGTGGGATAGACCAAGGGCGATGCCAGCCCCTTGACGTTTGTGTGTGTGTGTGGGGGGGGATTGTGGGTAATTATGTGGGGGGAAATGTGGGTAATTATCGAGAATGTTCGTTTCGGGGTCAGTGGTAGTTAGCTGTAGGGACGGTGGTCAAATTCAGTGGTAGTTAGCTATAGGGACGGTGGTCAAATTCAGTGGTTGTTAGCTGTAGGGACAGTGGTCAAATTCAGTGGTAGTTAGCTGTAGGGATGGTGGTCAAATCCAGTGGTAGTTAGCTATAGGGACGGTTCAAACTCTCCCAGAATTTTTGACGGCCAATAGAAAACAAGGGATCACTCGCACAAATCAACACAAGTCTGGGAAACTGACGATGCTTGGTTTAATACCTCTGGGGTCTTGAACTAGGGAATACAATATCACGATTTAAATTACAGCATAGAATTACAGTACTGTATTCCTATAGGAGTCTGAAAATTTAATAAACTCAAAGATACAGTAACTGGTTTAATATTTCTCTTAGGGTCGTCAAATGGGGGTGGCACCAGGAGGAGGAACGGGGGGAGAAATAAATCTAGCGTGGCGTAAAAATAAATAAATAAATAAATAAATAAAAAAGCCGCTATTTTGGGAATTAAATATATATATATAAAAAAATGAACCCCAAAGCACCCTCTTGTCCTGTGTGAGGTCATAGCTATTAGAGGTCGTTACAATCACCATTTCAGTGTCGGTAGAATTCACAACTCTTGTTTTTGTCTTGAGCAATTCGTAGTGCCCTGCCTGATTGTCCTGAGAGAGAGAGAGAGAGAGAGAGAGAGAGAGAGAGGGGGAGAGGGGAGAGGGAGGGATATGAACGAAATCAAGATATAGAGAATCACCCCCCACCAACCCCCATAGTAAGTTGATCTCGGAGATGTTGTTTAAGTGAGGAACCACGGCCATTCGTGGGTTACCTGATGATTAGCACCCACCCCAAGTACTAATCACCTGAAGATTAGTTCACCCAAATACTCACACTGAAACCATCTGGGGGGGAGCTAGTAATCAGGTAATCCAAAAAGACTATAAAACCAGCAAATTGCCTCGTTCATATCAACTACACCACCCCTATTTCACCATTACCAAAGTTACTCTACAACTACAGTCAGAATACAATAGCAGAATACAAAAAAATAAAATACATCATTACAGTACCTTGATTACATGACCAGATTATAATATATTAAGTCATTAGTTATTTTTTTTTTACTCTAGGTATTAAGTTATAAATAAATTGTATCATTATTATTCACTATTATGTATAATGTATGATACTGTGTCAGGAAATGTATACAGTTTGTGGGTGGGTGGGTGTGTGTGTGTGTGTCTGTGTCTGTGTGAGAAATCATACATACACAAGTGAGAATTTTGTTGTTGTTGGTGGTGGTAGTGGTAGTAGTAGTAGTAGTAGTAGTAGTAGTAGTAGTAGTAGTAGTAGTAGTAATGATGATGATGGTAATTGAAGAGGTTAAGAAGGAGACAATAAAATAAAAGTTATACCTGGAAATCAAGTTCAAATTACAAGGTAAGGTTAGGTTACAGTACGTTAGATTAGGTTAGGTTAAGGAAGGGTTGGTTTAGGTTAGGATAGCATAGGTTAGGTTAAGGAAAGGTAGGGTTAGGTTAGGTTAGAACACACTCCACCAGACCCCCAAGACAAAACACAACAAATGTTCCTCACCTCAAACACTCCGAGACAGCGACCCAACATACCACAGACTCCGGCCTCTTCCCGCACCTCTCGAATTGCCGCCATATCCGGTAGCTCATTGGGCTCGACTCCTCCCCCGGGCACGATCCAGAGTTCCGAGTCGCGACGAGAGGAGACTAGTAACACCTATGGGGGGGGGGAAGATGTCAGTAGTTTGGTTTGTTGCCACTAGGGAGTTTATGATAGCTTGATGCTTACACCCTAATGCTAACTTAATCTAATGTGTAGGTAAACAAGAAATATACCTAGACAGTACAGGTATTAAGAAGGTACCTAGGTGAGGTCGCCTGGGAACAGTCACGTCAGTCCCCGGTAGGAACTGGTAAGGTCACAGATGACACAATTGATCATGACTATAATATATTCACTAGTATACTACGTAAAGCACAAGAACAAAATATACCACACAGAAAAATCAGGTCAAATAAGAATGAGCCAAGGTGGATGACCAGAAAACTTAAACATGACATAGGAATAAAGAAAGGAATATATAAGAAATTAAAGGGAGGGGAGGAGCAGCTCAGAAATAGGTATAATGAACTCTCTAGGAATGTTAAGAAAAATGTAAGGAAAACGAAGAGTGCGGGGAGATATGATAGAAGTATTTAAGTGGGTGAAAGGAATCAATAAAGGGGATATAGAAAAAGTACTTATAATATCTGAGCAAGATAGGACTCGGAGCAACGGCTTTAAGTTGGATAAGTTTAGGTTTAGGAGGGAGATAGGAAGGAACTGGTTCACAAATAGGGTGGTGGACGAGTGGAACAAGCTTAGCAACTTTGTAGTAAGTGATGGAATGCTGGAAAGTTTTAAAAGGAGGCTGGATAGATTCATGGATGATAGAGAGTGGACAGTACAGGTATACAAACAATATACCTAGACAGTACAGGTATACAATCAATATACCTAGACAGTACAGGTATACAAACAATATACCTAGACAGTACAGGTATACAAACAATATACCTAGACAGTACAGGTATACAAACAATATACCTAGACAGTACAGGTATACAAAACACATACTAGACAGCAGGTATATAAACAATATACTAGACAGTACAGGTATACAAACAATATACCTAGACAGTATATATAAACAATATACGTAGACAGTACAGGTATACAAACACATACCTAGAGACAGTACAGGTATATAAACAATATACCTAGACAGTACAGGTATACAAAACAATATACCTAGACAAAGGTGGAAAACAATATACGACAGTACAGGTATACAAACAATATACCTAGACAGTACAGGTATATAAAACAATATAGCCTTGACAGTACAGGTATACAAACACATACCTAGACAGTACAGGTATACAAACAATATACCTAGACAGCACAGGTATAAACAATATACTGTACCTAGACACAGGTATATAAACAATAAACCTAGACAGTACAGGTATATAAACAATAAACCTAGACAGTACAGGTATACAAACAATATACCTAGACAGTACAGGTATATAAACAATATACCTAGACAGTACAGGTATACAAACAATAAACCTAGACAGTACAGGTATATAAACAATATACCTAGACAGTACAGGTATACAAACAATAAACCTAGACAGTACAGGTATATAAACAATATACCTAGACAGTACAGGTATACAAACAATATACCTAGACAGTACAGGTATACAAACAATATACCTAGACAGTACAGGTATACAAACAATAAACCTAGACAGTACAGGTATACAATGGCAATCAGTATGGCAATTTGACCAAGGATTCGCCAATCAGGCCATCACATGACTGGCTATTCCCAGCATTAATGAGAAAATTGATATTGTTAATTTAACTTAGATTAGTTAAGTTAATGTATGGTTAAGTGAGAACAGGTTAAATTAAGGTTAGATTAGGTTAGTTTAAGTATAGGTTAAGTTTGGTTAGGTTAAGTTAATGCTCAGTTAGGTTAGATTCAAGACCAGTTAGGTTAGATTAAGTTAGGTTACATTAAATCCCAGTTAGGTTAAGTTATATTAAATCCCAGTCAGGTTAGGTCAGGTCAGGTCAGGTTAGGTCAGGTCAGATGAGACACACACCCGCCTCACCTGGCTCTCGTCATCGTTAACACATATACACGCTGCTCGCTTCACAAAACCATCTTCATCGTAGTTCCGCGCCTTCACCATGTCGGTCATAATACAGGGTGGCGGTGGTGGTGGTGTTCCCGTGACGACGTCGATGATTACGGCGTAGACGGCCTAGTCTTACGAGGCCATTAGACCGAGGTAGTCAGGGGCGATGTGGCGTTCAGAGACATGGCGTAAAGGTGTTGACGTCGGCGGTGGTGGATTTGGTGTAAATACTTCACCCCAGAGGAGGTTTTTTGTTTTACCCTGAGGGATAAAACGTCGTGAGAAATTCAACTCTGACGATGGCTAACGATGGTTGAACGATGATGGACCCCCAAGACAGAAAATTCAATCCTAAACGAAGGCTAACGATGGCTTGCGATGATTGAACGATAACGAACCAACAATGGTAATAAACATCGAAGGAAAACAATTTCAAATGACCTCCAATGGCGATTAAATATCCAACCCAATCACCAACCAGGTTTAATTGCAGTTGGGTTTATTCTACCAACAACCAGGTGATTAAACCATGATAATAAACCATTAAATCACATGAAAATTAAATAATCATTTTTTTTACTGATTTGAATCACCAATTTTGTTTTCTTCAATTAAACAATTTAACCACAACTAATTAACCCCAAGTGAATTAATTAACAAAACCACAATAAATAAATCAAAAATATAAATGAAAAATCCCCCAAAAATCACCAAAAAATTTCCTATAAATCACCAAAGGAATAAACCCACTCCACCATAACCAATCACCAATCACCTGATAAAACACAAATCACACCAAACACCAATAAAAAAAATCACACAATATAAAACAATCCCCCAATGGTTATTTAATCCTAATTAACCCCCAAAAAAATCACCTAACTATAAAAATTTCTCACCAGGGGAGTTAACGAGAGTGACGGGAGTGAAGGAGGAACTTTAAATACTTAATTAACACCAAATAAAAACTTTCTTCTACTTGTAATTGAGATAAATCAATAGACCATCAGTCCTTTTAGTATGTTGGAGAGCCATGATGGTGTTGGAGGCTTGTAGGAGGGTGATAATGGTGAAATAAGGTGGTCGAATTAGTAGACTCCCTGACTCTGGTGTAAAGCTCAGCTGGTTACCGCCGTCGCTTCACCTCGGCCTGGATGGATCGTTACTGCCCGCTATCCCTTAACTATCCGGGAATAAACCCTTACTTATAAACCACTTATAAATATCTAAAGTACTCTAAAAATTTATTAATATTTATTGTTTATAAGTGGAGGTAATTATTAAGAAATTTTATATCTTTATTATATTATTATACACCAAAATACTAATCCATTTTATACCTACTTCGAAAATACTTATAAACACGTAAAGTAGTGTATAATTTACTTCTATTTCTTATATAAAAGTAGCTATAATTATATACTAAATGATACAGCAAAATTAGGCCTATTGTTAAGTTATTTTATATTATATACAACTATTTATTCCTATACCACGAAATCACCAATAACTTCTATATTATGGTATATTTGACTATAATTCACTCTTATTTGTCTATAACTATATATCAATTATCAGTCAATTATTATAAAAGAAATATTAATATAATTCATTATTTTATAGCGAATATATCCATTTAATTATCAATATTTACTAGTTGGTAACTGTTACATATTTTTATATATGTAATCCGTAAATAAAATTCAATAATATATATAAATTAATTTTCCTCTGTTAATTATGATAATCTATCCATGGAATATATAATTAATATTGCTTTCCACGAGGGATTATATTTATTATTGGTTAAAAAGATATTTGTCCTTAAAATGGGGAAGGTAGTGATGGCGGCACTTTCGCGTTCATTAATGACCACCTAATATAAAAACTTATTCAAATCTATTTATTATCCTTTATTAAGATTACATTATAGTATGATAAAATCCATTAATACCAATTGTAGAAAATATTTAGTTTTTAATGGATATAAATATTGTAAATAACGCCATTAAAAAATTCACTCAAACTCGAAATAAATTGTAATCAACCATCTCCGGGTCGCATTAAATAATAAGATATAAATAAACAATAACTTTAATGGCCAATTCAAACGATATTCATCAACCAAAGTAGTATAGTTATTATATTTCCAAAGTACTGTACGTAATAATTAATAAAGAAATATATGCTATAGCCCGTAATAGCATCAATAATAGCATGCATATATAACAGTATAGCTATATTATGAGTATCCAATCACAGCATAGGAAATCCATGACGTCATTTCAATATCCAATAATAACACGAAGCTTTAAATACATCACATTTAAAGAAAAACCATCAATATCCAATCACAGCACAGGGAACCCATGACGTCATTAAAACAACCAATTATAACGCGAGAAATTAATTACATCACATTTAAAGAACAACCATCAATATCCAATCACAGCACAGGGAATCCATGACGTCATTAAAACAACCAATTATAACGCGAGAAATTAATTACGTCACTGAAGGAAAATTTCACCAAAATACTTGATAATTTTTGTAGAGTTTTCCTTGTTTTATTATATATTTCATCTCTCTCTCTCTCCCAGGACAATAAACACCATAGAAAAATATTAAAAGAAGCTATTTAGTTGATATATGGTGATAAATACTCATGTGTTTAATGGCAATCAGGAGAAAATATTGGTTGACTATAATAATAATGGCCAGTTTATTATTGTGTTTACTGGTAAGGATTTTGGCGGGGGAGTTATACACACACATATACATACGTACAGTCATGTATACACACTAAAACATACATGCTTACACACACAGTAACGTACACTAAAACATACATGTATACATCAAATACTTACATGTAATTTAAAACAATTTATAATATAATTTCAATATAATTAATAAAAACTAATTACGAGATCACCTGAAGAATAACCACCCCAGGTGAAATAAGCTGGGGTGTCTAAGCTTCAGGTGAAATAAGCTGGGGGTGTCTAAGCTTCAGGTGAGGTTAAGTTAGGGTGCTTAATTTTAGGCTGAAATAAGCTGGGGTGTCTAATCATCACGTCACCCCAAACGACCATCAAAACTAACCAATAATTCCATGTTATTTGCATCAATTAGTTACTTCTTATACAGTAAACCCTCTCAATAACAGAATCCTCCCAATAGTGGACAGGGCTTGTAAGAATTAAGTCCGGTATTGGAAGGATTTAATTATATAAATAAAAGTCGTAAATGTAAAAAAAGTATGAAATGAAGAATTATTTTTTATAGGTCGTGACATCTCGGGAGGAAGCAGTGGTAATCGAGGGCTCACCTGGAGATGATCCTCTTGTACTAACAGCACTGAAGAGGAATTACCTGGAGCCACCGTCATCTCTTCCATACAACTTGTCGACCGAACCTTCGTATTTATTCTCAAGCACCATGGGGACTTGGGCGGATATACGCAAACACACGCGGATGTTTTTCACGAAGCAGGAAGGTGGATTTTTCATAGAGGTCGGGGCTCTAGATGGCCAACAGCTCTCCAACACACTCTGGTTAGAACAAGAATTGAACTGGACTGGATTGCTCATCGAACCCGACGTGTATAGTTACCAAGCGTTGAAATCCAAACACCGTAGAGCTTGGATCTCGAACGCTTGTCTGTCGGAGGATAATAAAGTCCGAGAGACCGTCCACGTTACGGCAAAACTACGCCGCGGCTTCGTTTCTCAGTGGCAGTGGCACCTATTGGGCGCTTCTTACCAATATGGCATCAACCGGAGCCCGATCTTCGACGAATACTTGAAACAGGCCGATCAGACGTACACAAAATCCACGTGTTTTCCTCTATTCTCTTACATCTTGGCTCTAAACATCACTTCGGTCGACTTTTTATCCCTCGACACGCAAGGGAGTGAGATCGATATCCTGAAATCCTTACCCTGGGGTCAAGTGAACATAAGGGTGATAATAGTTGAAATTGAAGACCCAAAGTTTGCCGTGGGATTCACCGACTATATGACAGATAAAGGTTATGTGTTAGTTGACCAGGAGACGGATTACTATTTTGTCAGGAAGGGCGATCCAATTCTCACTCGAGTGTGATCCAATTCTCACTCGAGTGTATTAATGGACTCGAAGTCAATTGTTTGTTTTGCTAGATTTGTGCCTCATATACCTGTATTGTCTATTACTTACAAACATCAATGTCCAATTTCTACTCCACATTAACACATAAATAAATGTTAATAAAACTCAGAATTATATTACAAGTTTAACTTTTTTTTCCCTCCTCATTTAACACACAATTTATCAGGCAAACATTATCATTTACTTAATCTATACATACAGACATACATATACATACATACATACATACATATATACATACACTCAAATATAATACTGTACACAATAGGTTCAGTACTTTTAAACAAATTATGGCTGACGTGAAGATTAGACACCCCCAGTTTGTTGGGTTGGGTTAGGTTATGTTTGAACTAAGCCCAGGTTGGGTTAGGTTAACATCAAGGCATTTCATCACAAGAGGAATTAAAACTGAAGTGGCTAATCTTCAGGTGATGGCTAATAAAAAATAATCCTTAAATCCAACCTCTACAATGACAAACAAATGAACATCGACGGAATTCATGGAACGACGATGGTATATTTTTTTTTAGAAGAGATGAACGTAACTTTATCTCTCTCGGAACAATAACAAAGGCTCGTACAACCTAACGCTCGTATGTAAGTTGTCTGAGCAGATGAGGGTGTTGTGATAATGGACTTTCATCTCTTTATAGTTCATTAGATGGAGGTTTTATGTCTAACGGACCCTCGATATAATGGACTTTCATCTCTTTATAGTTCATTAGATGGAGGTTTTATGTCTAACGGACCCTCGATATAATGGACTTTCATCTCTATACAGTTCATTAAATCGAACTATCACTGTAAACTAACCGCCGTTCAACCTTACTAGTCGTTAAGTTCCGATACCACACGAACTACCATCTACGTATCGTCACAAATTTCGTCTTCTGCGTCATTCGTGTACATCAGCACGAAATAAACATTGAAAGAATAATATCACCTGACGATTAGCCACTCTAGTGTACATTTCATCCTAACCTAACCTAACCCCCACAAGGGAGTAAAAGGGTGTTAAATAATCAGGTGAAATAAGCTAGGGAGGGAGGAGAAGGGAGGAGGAGAGAGGGAGGGAGGAGGAGGGAGGAGGGAGGGAGGGAGGGAGGGGAGAGGGGGGTGGTCAAACTTCAGGTGAACATTTGAACATACATCATACATTATTTATACACCGTTCCATATACATTTTGTTCATAGTGTACAAGTGTCGAGGATTGGTTTTTTTTAAAATAATAGTCGTGTGATTTTTATGGTTTACAGCCGATTAAATGGAAGCCTTATTTTAAGTGTGTACCAGGAGAGAGAGAGAGAGAGAGAGAGAGAGAGAGAGAGAGAGAGAGATTAGTAATATATTTCCTATTTTTCTTTCTCTCTTTATCTGTCTGTCTCTCTCTCTCTCTCTATCTCTTTATCCTATCTCTTTATCTCTCTATCTCTATCTCTCACACCATCTCAACACCACAAGCCAGAATGCCACTGAGCCCAATAACAAACACATCATAACTAAGACACCCCAAAGAAACAAAAAATTCCTCGACTGTCGATAAAAACCCCGTAAACAAATCCCTCGTCTTCCTGCTGGCCAATGTAAGGCGTGTTAACTAGCCTGGACCTCGCTATCGAACGATCGTTAATGAAGATCTTGACTGACGATGGTAATTCTAAGTCTCCAAATGGTTAATAACGTTAATGGCTGTTAAAATGATAAATTAAATCTGATTGGTCGTAATAAATTAAGAAAAGAACAGACCAACAAACTATATTGTTAATAAATAGATGGCTTAACAAATTAAATAATCTCGCTAAATATGTCTGAAATAACTCACTAAATATGTCTGAAAATCTCGCAAAATATGTCTGAAATAACTCACTAAATATGTCTGAAAATCTCGCTAAATATGTCTGCCTATGTGTGAAGTTGATGTCTAAGATGATATTCCTATTTATTACGAATCTTTCCACGTATATTTTTACATTTTTACCCCACACACAGAATACACAGATAATGCTACAATGTAATGAGTGGTAACATTGGTCAAAATGGTACAATGTTTACCAACCTACTGTACAAATAAGTGGGACAGTCTCATGTGTACGGCTGCGGTCAAAAATCCTTCCCCCAACGCTTGACGATATCCGATATCTATTGTGTGTGAACTGTATCTGGTCAGGTCAGGTTAGATAAGGTCAGGTTAGGTTTGGTAAGGTAAGATTATATATGGTTAGGTTTGGTTTGGTTAGGTATGGCAAGGAGAGGTCAGGTCAGGTCAGGTTAGGTATGGCAAGGTAAGGTAAGGTTAGTTCATATCAGGTCAACACAATAGAGTTTTTAAATAATTCAACGACACAAAATCAAAAATAATAAACAGGTCATGGACCACCATTGTACCCAGCTGCACGACCCTAAAGGAAATACCTGCATCGAGGGGATTCTGACCGCGGCTTCACAAATTTTAAAAACTTACTCGTAGAATAGCATTATGACCCTTAACACAGCCTAACCTTTGTATTTTCTTATCGATTATGATGAAAATAGACTTAATTTAAATGTACAGGGTGTCTCATAGGTCACACACACATGTACAGGGTGTGTTATAGTTCACACACACATGTACAGGGTGTCTTATAGTTCACACACACATGTACAGGGTGTCTTATAGTTCACACACACATGTACAGGGTGTCTTATAGTTCACACACACATGTACAGGGTGTCTCATAGTTCACACACACATGTACAGGGTGTCTCATAGTTCACACACACATGTACAAGGTGTCTCATAGTTCACACACACATGTACAGGGTGTCTTATAGTTCACACACACATGTACAAGGTGTCTCATAGTTCACACACACATGTACAGGGTGTCTTATAGGTCACACACACATGTACAGGGTGTCTTATAGTTCACACACACATGTACAGGGTGTCTTATGGTTCACACACATGTACAGGGTGTCTTATAGTTCACAATAACAATACGTACAGGGTGTCTTATAGTTCACAATAACACATGGCACAGGGTGTCTTATAGTTCACACACACATGTACAGGGTGTCTTATAGTTCACACATACATGTACAGGGTGTCTTATAGTTCACACACACATGTACAGGGTGTCTTATAGTTCACACACACATGTACAGGGTGTCTTATAGTTCACACACACATGTACAGGGTGTCTTATAGTTCACACACATGCAGAATTGTGTTATAGTTCACACACACATGTACAGGGTGTCTTATAGTTCACACACACATGTACAGGGTGTATATAGTTCCACACACATGTGCAAGTGTCTTATAGTTCACACACACACATACAGGGGTGTCTATAGTTCACACACACATGTACAGGGTGTCTTATAGTTCACACACACATGTACAGGGTGTCTTATGGATACACACACATGTACAGGGTGTCTTATAGTTCACATGTGGGGTGTCTTATAGTTCACACACACACACACACACACATGTACAGGGTGTGTTATAGATTCACACACACACATGTACAGGGGTGTCTTATAGTTTCACACACACATGCAGGGTGTCTTAGTTCACACACACACATGTGCAGGGGTGTGTTATAGTTCACACATGTACAGGGTGTCTTATAGTTCACACACACACACATGTGCAGGGTGTCTTATAGTTCACACACACACATGTACAGGGTGTCTTATAGTTCACACACACATGTACAGGGTGTGTTATAGTTCACACACACATGTACAGGGTGTCTTATAGTTCACACACACATGTACAATTATGTATAGTTCACACACACATGTAGGGTGTGTTATAGTTCACACACATGTACAGGTGTGTATAGTTCACACACACACACATGTACAGGGTATGTACCTAGTTCACACACACATGTACAGGGTGTCTTATAGTTCACACACACATGTACAGGGGTGTGTGCTCATTCACACACACACATGTACAGGGTATATAGTTCACACACATGTACAGGGTGTCTTATAGTTCCACACACACACACACACACACACACACACACACACACACACACACACACACACACATGTACAGGGTGTCTTATAGTTCACACACACACACACACACACACACACACACACACACACACACACACACACACATGTGCAGGTGTCATGTGATTTCCACACACACATGTACAGAGTTGTGTTATAGTTCACACACACATGTACAGGGTGTGTGCATAGTTCCACACACATGTACAGGGTGTGTATAGATTCCACACACACATGTACAGGGTGTCTTATGAATTCTACACACACATGTACAGGGTGTGTTATAGTTCCACACACACATGTACAGGGTGTCTTATAGTTCACACATATGCAGGGTGTCTTACATAGTTCACACACACACATGTACAGGTGTCTTATAGTTCACACACACATGTGCAGGTGTCTTATAGTTCACACACACATGTACAGGGTGTCATATAGTTCACACACACACACACACACACACACACACACACACACACACACACATGTACACAGGGTGTCTTATAGTTCACACACACACACACACACACACACACACACACACACACACACACACACACACATGTACAGGGTGTCTTATAGTTCACACACACATGTACAGGGTGTCTTATAGTTCACACACACATGTACAGGGTGTCTTATAGTTCACACACACATGTACAGGGTGTCTTATAGTTCACACACACATGTACATAGTTCACACACACATGTACAGGGTAGTCATGTATAGTTCACACACACATTACAGGGTGTCTGGTTCACACACATGTACAGGGTGTCTTATAGTTCACACACACATGTACAGGGTGTCTATAGTTCACACACACATGTACAGGGTGTCTCATAGTTCACACACACATGTACAATCATAGTTCACACACACATGTACAGGGTGTCTTATAGTTCACACACACATGTACAAGGTGTCTCATAGTTCACACACACATGTACAGGGTGTCTTATAGGTCACACACACATGTACAGGGTGTCTTATAGTTCACACACACATGTACAGGGTGTCTTATAGTTCACACACACATGTACAGGGTGTCTTATAGTTCACACACACATGTACACAGGGTGTCTTATAGTTCACACACACATGTACAGGTGCCTGGTAGTTCCCACACACACACACACACACACACACACACACACACACACACACACACACACATGTACAGGTGCTCAGCAGTTCACACACACACACACACACACACACACACACACACACACACACACACACATACATGTACAGGGTGTCTTATAGTTCACACACACATGTACAGGGTGTCTTATAGTTCACACACACATGTACAGGGTGTCTTATAGTTCACACACACATGTACAGGGTGTCTTATAGTTCACACACACACACACACACACACACACACACACACACACACACACACACACACACACACATGTACAGGGTGTCTTATAGTTCACACACACACACACACACACACACACACACACACACACACACATGTACAGGGTGTCTTATAGTTCACACACACATGTACAGGGTGTCTTATAGTTCACACACACACACACACACACATGTACAAGGTGTCTTTAGATCAAGTAATTCACAACTAATCAACAAAAACGTTAGATAAATTAACTCGAAAGAAAAGAATCCAATTATTAATCTTCCACAAAGAAACACGTCACCCCAATCATTCACAGAATAACCTAACCAAACCTAACCTAACCAAATCTAGAATCTATTGCCTACTAAGATGATCAACAAAACACAGAATAAAGCAGGAAATTACATCGGAAAACAACAACACCACAAGACGCATGAATGGTAGTTAAGTCACCGCCGTTACATAGAATCGATGGAATATTTTAAAGATGACGAATCGCTTAGCTATTGAACCTAATGTGATTTCCCAATGGTGTATGACTTATGACACACCCTGTACAGTACATACTACTACTACTACTACTACTACTACTACTACTAATAATAATAATAATAATAATAACAATAATAATACTAATAATACTAATACTTATAATAATAATAATAATAATAATAATAATAATAATGCAGAAAACAAAAACCCTCTCATTAACAGACTTCTCAATAGGGGACATTCTCATTAACAGAATCCTCTCAATAGCAAACAGGTCTTGTAAGAAATAAACCCACTATTGGGAGGATTTAATGTAATAATAAAACAATATTAAACCATTAAACCAATCTCCCTAACCTAACCCCACACTGGATTAAGCTGCGATCGGCCAGTTTATAGAGCAGTGGGTCAAAGGGGCTTCAGTTCTGATACGCAGCGACGTACCCTAAAGTAACCAGCAGGATTGGGGTGTCGCGGGGCTGACGATCACTTGTATCCATCTTCAGTGTTTAGGCTTAGTTTGGTTGGGTTTGGTTGGGTTTGGTTACATTATGTTAGGTAAGATTGAGTTTAGAATTAGGTTAGATTAGCTATGATTGGGTTAGCATGGGGTTAGGTTAGGTTAGGTCACATAAGAACTGACACCCTATTGACCTCACAAACTGAGTGACCCAAAACACAGAAAATAAAAAAATAAAAAACCCCACTGGAATGTTGAAATGTAAACAGGGAAGAAAAATTATCTCTACCGAGTCTCTCCGCACCTGTTACTGCCGGGGCGTCGACCAGCACCGCCGTGACTTGTCGTGGAACACATAAACAACGACGAGTCTTTCTCTACGAGTCGTTGAAGGTCGCGGATATTCTGGCAACATCCCTAAAGGTGACCTGAGTGTCTTTCTTAAGTACGAGAACTATTATTTACAAGTGGCGTTCGGTCGTCTACTTGCCGAATCTCTGTTCACACTTGGAGTATCTCCGGAGTATCGTCTGGAAGGAGTTGTACTCAAATCTACTCAAGGAAGGAGTGGAGAAGAACTCACTGAGTCGCACCTGCCAGGGAAGGAACCCTAGCGTGGAGATAGGCTCCCCTATGGTGATGACTACGTCGGGGTCGGGCTGCCCCAGAGTCACCAGCCGAGACTCGATCATCGCCGCCGTTATCTTACATCCCTCGGAGCACAACCTGCGGGCGGCGGACGCTAGGTTACTCCTGCCGTCCGCCTGACTCAGGAGATTGACCGTTATTTCCCGGTGCCGCGTCGTGCCGTTAGCCTCCGCTCGTTTCCCCGCCACGACGTCTCTGTCGGGGTGACGGTCCCGGCCGTACGACACGACGTTATATAAGACGTCGGAGTCGCTCTCCCGTAGAGCCCCGAGGAGCGCCGGTCTCTTGCGCTTGAGGACCCCGTGGGCGTCGTACAGGGACACGTAGTGGACCCCGTACCCTATGGCCCAGGATATCACCGTCGACAGCTGGGCCACGTGGTGAGCCTGCTGGCCGACGCACACCAATCCCAAGTGCTGCGGCACCTTCTTCAGCTGGGCGGCATCGGCCTGTAGGCGACCGGGCGGGACTCGGGCGAGCACCAAGAAGGAATACACCCGCAGCAGAAGGCGGTGAAGGTGGAAGAAGGTGTCGATCACAGAGAGGGCGAGACTGGCCAAGAAGTGGGCCACAAAATACAACAACTGGAACACTGGCAGCAGCACGTCCATCTGTCGGACATAAACTGGTATTAACACAACGTGGAAATACCTGGCATGGAGGACCACCTGATGATTAGCCACCCCAGCTTATTTTATCTAATGACTAAACAACCTAACCTAACCACCCCAGCTTATTTTATCTAATGACTAAACAACCTAACCTAACCACCCCAGCTTATTTTATCTAATAATTAAACACCTGAACACTATTTACAGTGATGAGGTTAGGTTAAGTTATAACTAAGATAGATTAGCATTACATTAGGTTAGATTAGCGTTGGGTCAGGTTAGGTTAGATTCATGCCGGTTACGTTAGATTAGCATTAGGGTCGTTAATCATGTAAAACTGAGGGTGTATATTCTTCATGTGATAAATAACATAAATCAACATAACAAACTAACATAAATAGTCTGAAATTATCCCGAAACGAAAACCTAACCTAACCATATGGGAGACTATCATTACCTCTACGACATAAAATAAAACCCATTGGATATAACACATCATTAATATTATCACTAATTACTATAATTAGGGTCCAATATGATGGTAATTATGGGAAGAAAATCAAATAAAAAATCATACAATGTGACGTAACAAACTATAACACATTATCTATAAGTTTTGCTGTTTTAACCCATAAGACTAAACCCATAAACCATAAACCCAACAGGAATAATAAACCAGATAAAAAACTACAAATATACATCATAATCTAAATAAAAACCCGATTAATTAATGAAATATTAAATAAAACTCTTCAACCACAATACCGGGATGTGACCTAGACTCCTACCATTACCACCCTCATTACTCGACCTTATTTAGTCCTTATTACGTCTTTTACTTGTATATAACCAGTATAAATATATCAAATAAGGTTAAAATATTAATTACAGATGGGTACCTTAAGCTGAGGACCTCGAGGGAGTGTTAAATAAGGTAAAATAAGACATAAGGGAAGAGATCTCAGCCAAGTCTTCAACACCACAATGTAAACACGACCAGTAACGTTCACAACTCACAGAAAAATAATAAAAACATTAATATTTTCCATAATTACAATTTTTTTTATATAATTTAGATTTTTAAAAACAATAAATAAGTTTAATTTTACATTTTTTTCTTTAAAGTAGATGATTATGTTAGTAAATATTACTAACTTTTATATTAACGTACTTGTGAATGATAGGAAACATGAACGAAATCTTAAATTAATCTGTTTTTCTAATATATAAAACCTTAATTTTATTCTCATATATCAAAAAATTTAAAAATAGATATAAATCTATTAAATAAATGTTATAAAGAAAAGGTTTTATTATTATTTTATTCTATTAAGTAATTGTGAACGTCGTCATATGGTGGCACGTGATTGGTCCACGTCTGAGGCGTCACGACGGCCATAAGCCAACTCATCTCTTATTATTTCTGCCTCAGGAAGTGATTTAAGGCTGATAAAGACCTCTTGAGATATTATCCTCGCTGGAAAAGTTGGAATAATTACCTACGAGGAATTAATTACGGTATTGAGGTGTGAAATTAGAGAGATAATTACATCATCCAATTGGAGAAATCAAGACAAGGAAAAACCCGCCTTATTTGACTTCAATATCTCCATTAAACAATAATTGGCGTTAAATGAAACTAATACGCCATATTTTATTAGTGTATTTCATCGTTATAGATACATCAAAAGTGATTAATTGCAATGGAAGTGAAGGAAATGATGGTAGTTCATTACAACGAGGTCATGCCGCACCCACAGGGAGACAGAGCTCACCGGGTCAAAATATTATCTTATGGTGGACTCCTTTTACGGGAATTTCCGGCCAATCTAGGAACTGTGACTTAGGATCGTGTTATTTTACAGAAGATAGAAGTTATATACACAACAAGAAGACAAAAGCTGTGTTATTTTACGGAAGTGATTTTAATATAGAGGATTTACCTTTACCCCGGCGGTCGCGTCAATGGTGGGCGTTGCTACATGAAGAGTCGCCCAAAAACCAACCATTATTTGACCACCAACCTGTCCTGGAGTTATTTAATTTAACCTCAACCTTCCGTAGAGAATCAAACTTTCCATTAACACTACAACATCTTGAATCCATCCAATCATTAACCACCACCAAGGAATTTATCCCAACTAATCAGAAAACCCAATTAATGGCCACAGATAATTTAGCCCCAATTGTCTATGTTCAATCAAACTGTGACACACCATCAGAGAGAGATAATTACGTTGAGGAATTATCTAAATATATTAAAATAGACTCATATGGAGCCTGTCTACACAATAAAGACTTACCATCACATCTCATAGACCCAGCAGAAAATTTCGACCATTGGGAATTCAGATCATTAATGGCTAGATATAAATTCACTTTATCTATAGAAAACGCAGCTTGTGAGGATTATATCACCGAGAAATTGTGGCGGCCAATTACTCTCGGTTCTGTACCTATTTACTGGGGTTCACCAACTATCCAAGACTGGTTACCAAATCCTAGTTCAATAATTCCAATATCTGACTTCCAATCACCTAGAGAATTAGCCACATATATTACCACATTACTAGACGATGATAAACAATATGAGAGTTATCTAACGCATAAATTACATCAAATTATCACAAATAATTATCTTTTAGAAGCCATGAACCAAAGAAAATGGGGTATTAACAATGACTTTGAGAGGGGTAACTTTATTGAACATTATGAGTGTTACGTTTGTGACCAAATCCTGACAAAACATGGAAAATTAAGGGAAAAGGGTCATTTAGGGGTATTTATGGCATCTTTAGGGCATTATGGCTGTCCTGAACCCTCAAATACCCTAACTGGTACCCCAAATCCGAAGAGTTTTTGGGTGCAACAGTGGCATAAGGGGCGAATTGAAGCTATGGTCCTAAATAGATTGATATCAACTTCTGGGACGCTTTCAGTGAGTCAATTCTACCAAGAAGTGATTGAGGAATTGCAAAATGATGGCTTCTTTGTCAGATACCCACCAGAACATGAAGAACTGTGAGATTTTACCCAGAAATATGGAATCTGAGGTCATTTTCATGAGTACAATGACATAAGTGTTAGTTTTTGAGTCCATATGTACTTAAGTCAATAACAAAATAAGTGTAGTTTCTAAGTCCATATTTACTCAAGTCAATAACAAGATAAGTGTAGTTTTGAATCCATATGTACTTAAGTCAATAACAAGATAAGTGTAGTTTCTGAATCCAAATCTACTTAACCACATTGTAACATAATTTAACATCACTAAAGATAATTATTAATTTATCCATTAACAATAAAGTCTTCCAAATAATGTTCAAAAATTATTATAATGATTTAAGCTCAAATATGTATAATCTATGGGCATGTATACATATGTAGATTCATGTACGTTTAATACAACTCATGTATGTATACTAGATTCATGTACGTTTAATACAACTCATGTATGTATACTAGATTCATGTACGTTTAATACAACTCATGTATGTATACTAGATTAATGTACGTTTAATACAACCCATGTATGTATACTAGTCATGTACGTTTAATACAACCCATGTATGTATAATAGACCAATGTACACTAGACCCATGTACACACAACTCATGTACGTATAGATACATGTACGTTTAAACACAGTGCATATATAACTGGAATAAGACTTTATTTAGCCATACACATCAATGTATATTTTTGTATAGAATTAAATATTGCATAATTATACACCTTAGTTTATATCACCTGTAGATTAAGCACCCTAACCTAATCCTAATGTTAAGCTAATCTAACCCTTACCTAACCTAATCTAACCCTAACCTAACCTAACCTAACCTAACCTAACCCCCCCCAAATAACACTAGGGTGGGTAATCTTCAGGTGATAAATCTACTTCTGTAAATAACCGTAAATATTATTTTTTTTACGAGATAAATTTACCGTTAATGTAAATAATTAAAATAAAATTAACACTTTAGAAATTTATTTTTATTGACATTTAAAGAAAAATTGACGTTAATTGATTGAAAAAAATTAGTTTGTTTATTTTAGTGTTTCATTTGACTTTATAATCATAGATGTCAGTCTGTCTGTCTATCTATCTACCTATTCAACTATCTATCTAACTATCTATCAAATATCTGTCTATCTGTAACCTATCTATCCACCTATGAACCATGTATCTATCTATCCACTAACCTATCCACACATACCAAAAATAATACTGAAAAAATAAAAATAAAATAAAATCTTTACGTAACTTTATTATTGCAGATAAATTGGAATTAAAATCTACTGTTCTAGTTAAGAGCAGCTGAAGAATAGTACCCCCTTGATTATGGTCTGTTTCACCTGATGATTAAAGATCCTAACCTAACCTCTCAGGTAGGGGTGAGGTTGGGTTGGGGTGAGGTTGGGTTGGGGTGAGGTTGGGTGGGGTGGGGTTGGGGTGAGGTTGGGTGGGGCGGGCTGGGTTGGGGTGAGGTTGGGTTGGGGTGGGGGTGAGGTTGGGTTTGGTTGGGTTGGGGTGAGGTTGGGTTGGGGTGAGGTTGGGTTAGGTGAGGTGGGGTTGGGTTAGTATTCATTTTAATTAGGGTTAAGTTAGGTTAATTAACAGGTGAATAGGGGGGTTTAACCTTCATGTCATTAACTAATTGTGAGGTAAAATTCTATTGCTTTAACAGAACTCTAAATAAAATTATCTTATTAAATCACCAATCAATAACATGACATCAATCACCAATCAATAACATGACATCAATCACCACCATTAAAATTACGACTTTATGGCAATTATCAGACCACAATAATGTCACCTGAAGATTAGCCACCCTAGTTTATTTCACCTAATGCTTCCTGGGTTAGGTTAGGTTAGGTTAGGTTGGGTTGGGTTAGGTTAGGTTAGGTTAGGTTAGGTTAGGTTAGGTTAGGTTAGGTTAGGTTAGGTTAGGTTGGGTTAGGTTAGGTTAGGTTGGGTTGGGTTAGGTTAGCTAGGGTGTCTAATCTTCATGTAACACTATATAAGACTTGCTGGTTTATGAACCCCTTGTTCTAATCTGTAACCTAACCTAACCATTAGATCTGGGGCTCAAACTACCAGGGCCCATTAGAACAGGACAACCCTTTAAAATTAGGCCTTATTTTCAATGGTATGGTTAGGTTAGGTTAGGTTCAGGTTAGGTTCAGGTTAGGGGGTTTGTAGTTGGGGTTTAGGTTAGGTTTAGGTTAGGTTTAGGTTAGGTAGAGCCCATTTAGCCGGCCAGCCAAAGAGACATACAGACTTATATTTATATCAAAAGAATGTTGTAATAAAATAAAGAATACTGTTGTTCTGTCATGGTTTGTTTACAAGTCTGAAGAAAATAAACTTTGATATGCAGCGAAACTTCTATTTAATGGACTATATAGCGATGAAGGTCCATTATATCGAGGGTCCGTTAGATGTGAAACCTCCATCTAACGAACTATATAGAGATGAAGGTCTATTATATCGAGGGTCCGTTAGATGTGAAACCTCCATCTAACGAACTATATAGCGATGAAGGTCCATTATATCGAGGGTCCGTTATATGTAAAACCTCCATCTAACGAACTATATAGAGACAAAAGTCCATTATATCGAGGTTTCACTGTACAGGACTTAACCGAACTCTAAGAAACAAACGGACAAATAATTGGCAGATCAAGATGTCATGTACGACACCACAGCCTTTGGGCCAGGCAGGTTACCTTAGGGTCACCTGATCGTTAGTCTTACCTGTCGAGTTTATTTGTACTATACCTGTTAATTAATCTACCTTTATGCTACCTATGGGGGGGGGGAAGTAGTGTTAGGTTAGGGTTGGTTAGGTTAGGTTAGCATTCGTGTGGTTAACCCAGAGATGAAATAAACTAGGGTGTCTAATTTTCAGGTGACCCCAATTGACCTTGACAGAAGGGTCAAAATAATTAATTACTCATCAACACATATTGGAGTAACAGCGGCCATCTCGTGTTTCCAATAACGACATGCATTTGACCCCATGACCTCTGACCACTTGATCCTTGACCCCTAGAATACTGACCAGAGCGAGAAAAAAATAAAAATATTTATAATGTTATTTCAGGTGAAGTTTAGACACCCCGGCTTATTTTACCTGATGATTAAACACATTAAATGCCACATGAGGGTTAGGTTAGGTTAGGTTTGGTTAGGTTAGGTTAGGTTAGGATAGTGTTAGGTTAGTGTTAGGTTAAGTTAGCATTCAGGTGAAATAAGCCAAGTCATCTAGAACCTTCAACCAATCTAATTACCGATTCCAAAACACAAAAAAAAACCACCCAATCTCATCTCCACGTCCATAATTGCACGACACTAACAAATCAAATCACCAACAGCACCCCATACTAGACGACGCAGCTTAGGGTAACTGATAGCAGAAGTTGTAGTTGGGTGGCGGAGGCGGTACGACCGGCTGTTGTTGTGGTATTGTCACCCCTTCGGCGTCCAATAAACGTAATTTGATCTCCATGTTAAGCAGCATCTCTAGGTCCCTTGAGGTGGCTGCACTGGGCATTCGTTGACCTGTGGAGAGAGTGTGTGTTTTTAAGGTGCGTTGTTATGTTTTGGGGGCATTCGTTGACCTGTGGAGAGAGTGAGTGTGTTTTTAAGGTGTGTTGTTATGTTTTGGGGGCATTCGTTGACCTGTGGAGAGAGTGAGTGTGTTTTTAAGGTGTGTTGTTATGTTTTGGGGGCATTCGTTGACCTGTGGAGAGAGTGAGTGTGTTTTTAAGGTGCGTTGTTATGTTTTGGGGGCATTCGTTCACCCGTGGAATCTGTGGGTGTGTTTTAAAGTGTGTTGTCATGTTTTGGGGGATTCATTGACCTGTAGAGACAATAAGTGTGATACCAGAGTGCGTCGTTGATGTCACGAGTGCGTTGTTATACCCCCTTCCACACCACATCAACAATGGACTACGAACACACCCTAAAAAACGCCCTCTAGCATCACGTCCGCACAAAGTAACCCCAAGCCAGCATGACGCACCACGACTTACGTAAGAGTGCGTTGACGCCGTCCACCCAGTAACTGAAGACCGAGTCGTCTGGGGCCACAAAGTCGACGCTATTGGTCTCGTTAACGTTGTTGCTTTCCAAGATGAGAGAGAACGCAAGATTGTACGCATTCTTCTTGCTGTAGGGGCAAGATGATCAAGGTAGAGTAGTGGAGATACTACTACTACTACTACTACTACTACTACTACTACTACTTTTTTACTACTACTACTACTACTATTATTAATAATGTCAATACTACTCTAAGATTAACTTTCCTAGCTAATTCCACCTGATGATCAAATACTCTAATTTACCTAAAGAATTGAATTACGTTTATTTGAACTTATTTTATCAATTTCTATCAATATTTTCCATCAATTATCAACTTTTTTGGCCGTTTAGGTATTTGGGGACTGAATTCAAGACCCCAGAGTTGTGAGTTGGTCAAGTGCCGGTACCCCAAAGCCCTACAGACATCCTAAGCCAGTACCTTACCCGGCTTTATCCTTCATGTGTGGGCATTCCTTCCCGGTAACGATGCTCTTGATGTCAACGATGCTGATTTTCTTGCCGAGCTCGTCAATCGTTGGCTCTGATTTCTCGTCGCACTCGTCGTAGTGGAAGAACTTGTGGTTTGGGGACAGCCGGCAGTAACGGAACTTGTCCTTGGTTCTCTGAAAGTTTGAACGGGGTGGTTAAGGATGCGGTACGAGGCATATGCCCCGGCGATGGCTAACGTCACGAACGAGGCTATTGGTGATTTTAGCTTTAATCGCCGGTGTAAGTTAATTAATATGCGACTTAACGAGGACGTAAACAAGGTGAGATCATTGGCCAATCAGGGACGTTGCCTCAGATCACGTGAATATTAGACACCCTTGTGAAATAAACCAGGGTGAGTATGCTGAGGACTTTGCTATGGGGTTAGGTTAGGTTTTGAGAGAGAGAGAGAGAGAGAGAGAGAGAGAGAGGAGACACTCACCGCACCCCGGACTGACTTAAACCGCGTTCCCTCAACCAAGAACCTCAGGCGGTGCTGCTGAATCAACTCTAGGATCTCCGGCTCCAGCTGTGTCCGCAACTCCCTGAAAAAAACAAACACACGATAATCAAGGAGCTTTAGGGTATAATATCGAACACCTCAGAATAATTTAATACCCAGATTTATGTCCGTAACTCTCTGATAAAGACAATATAATCAAGGTGCTTTAGGGTATAATATCGAACACTTCAGATTAATTTTATACAGTACCCAGATGAGTCGAGATTGTCAACAAACCCCTATAGACTAACCCACGTCAACAACAATACTCACTTAATGGGAGGGGCTTGCATTTCCTGTTCTTCGTTGTTTATCCTCTCCTGTTGCCATATCTCCGCGATCTCTGCGTACGTCAGGGTGTTGATCTTGGAGCGGAAGTTCTCTAGGGTCGACGGTTGGACGATCATCGTGCGCCATATTTGGTCCTTAACTACGCTGAGGACTTTGCTGTGGGGTGAGTGAGTGAGTGAGCGAGTGAGAGTTGATTGTAAAATTTGTATTCATGTTAAAGTTTAGGTGAAATAAGCTAACTTAATCTCACCTAATTAAATGTTAACCTAACCTAAATAAATGCTGCCCTAACTTAATACTAATCTAACCTACAATACCCAACCATACCCTAACCTAACCTACCCCAAAGTAACCCAACCCGAAGTCAACACTCAACGACGAACCTGAAATCCTCAGTGGTAGCTTTCATCTCCTTCCAGGTTTTATTGAGAAGAACAACACAGATGGAGAACAGTTCTTCGAAGGAATGATCGTGTGAGAAGAACATCGGGTGGAATGTCTGGCCTTGGTCCGTAGGGGTGTCACCGATCTGCGGCCCGACGGGAGAATTAGTGAACGGCCGATGTGTAAATATCGTCCCGGAAAAAAATAAATACCCTTCTATTTTCCTTGATCTTTGGATATTAACCGCTCTAATACTACTGGGGAGGGAAGGGGGGGGTTAGGAAAGGTTAGGTTAGGATAGACAAGGTTAGATTAGGCTAAATTAGGTTAAAATAGAATCATGATAGTCAATCTTACGGCAATACAAGCTGGGGGGAATGTGTCTAATTGATTACAGTACCTGCAAGATCTCACATAGGAGCTTAGTTAATTCGATGCTGGCTCGACCAAACGGACATTCGTGAGAGTCCGCCCGATAGCAGTTCTCCAGGACGAGTTTGGCGTATCTGTCGGAGGCGGAGAGGTGATATTAACACGATTATCTCGGTTTACCTCGTTCGGTAGTTTGATAGTTTATCACGATTCTAGTATGAGGTATAAACATTAGCTCCCTCCCTTCCTCCTCCCTCCTAAGTGGTCACCTGAAGATTAGCCCCCAAGTCAGGTCAGGTCAGGCTAAACACTCACTGATCAGAATGGTTCGGTTAGATTAGAATATGTTAGGTCACGTCGGGTCAGGCTAAACACTCACTGATCAGAATGGTTCGGTTAGATTAGAATATGTTAGGTCACGTCGGGTCAGGTCAAACACTCACTGATCAGAATGGTTCCGAGCAAAGAAGACCATATTATCTAGAGCCAACATCCCAGGAGGTGTGTCCATGAAGTCTTGGGCTGGGTTGATGTCATTGCGAAATCCGAGCTTCTTGTACTCCTTCTTGTACTCTGGTCGACGAGTTGTGACGTCTTTACTGCACTGATGATGAGAGAGAGAGAGAGAGAGTGAGAGAGAGAGAAATGATAAAGATTGATAGACACATAAATGGAGAGAGAGAGAGAGAGGGGAAAGGGAGTGAAATTATTGATAAAGATTCATAAATATATAAATGATAATAGATAGATAAATAAATAAAGAGAGAGATAGAGAGATAGAGAAAAAAACTCCCGACCCCAGACCAAATACAAACCACCGAACCCCAGACCTCACCTCCCCGTCAGTCTCGAAGGCAATACGCCGTAGTTCCTTGATCTTGTCGGTGGCGTCCTGATCGCTGGCGTCCATACTGGTGCTCATGCGTTCCTCGTACTGGTTGAGGAGGAGTTGCTGTAGGACGTATAACTGATGCGCCATGTCAGCCCCCACATTACCACCCTGAGGAGAGGCGCTTAGCATTAGTGTCAAGTAATCATGATTAAGAGTTCGTGGAGAATGTTGCGTCTGTATACCTGCATTGTTTATATATATGGTGAACTGTAGACCTACTTTGTCTAGTGTATATAAGAGCTGAACTGTATACCTACATTATCTATACAAACAGTAAATTAATCTAAATTTATATGGATTTTAATAAATGTCAATATAAAAGTCCGTAGTTACGTCACCTCTGCGTGGATAAGTACGTTGTTGGTCAGGATGGTCCGGTACTGCCGCGAGAACAGGGTCGTAGAGTAGTACCGCCGCTTCTGTGCGTCCGACTTCTGGATGAGAGAGTTGATTAGGGCCAAGACCGACTGTTGGATCTCCACTTTCTGTAATGTAGACGCGGAGGTGAGGCTTAGGGTCGCGTTGGTAGGATGACCAGGTCGTAGGTAGTCGTGTCAATAATCGATACGTAGGAATTAAAAGCAAGAGCAGACAACTATTAACGCCTACGCTCGATGTTAAGCGATGCCAATAATCGACACGTAGGAATTAAAAGCAAGAACAGACAGCTATTAACACCTACGCTCAATGTTAAGCGATGCCAATAATCGACACGTAGGAATTAAAAGCAAGAACAGACAGCTATTAACGCCTACGCTCGATGTTAAGCGATGCCAATAATCGACACGTAGGAATTAAAAGCAAGAACAGACAGCTATTAACACCTACGCTCAATGTTAAGCGATGCCAATAATCGACACGTAGGAATTAAAAGCAAGAACAGACAGCTATTAACGCCTACGCTCGATGTTAAGCGATGCCAATAATCGACACGTAGGAATTTAAAGCAAAAATACGAAGACTGCTCAAACGTAGACGCACCTTATTGTTAGAGATGTGCTGGAGGAGTTTGGGCATAGTGATCTGCTTCTCTACTGTGGCGTACTTGTTTTGACTGTTGGTGACGATGTTTTCCAAGATGGCGAGGGAAGTGGAGAGTGTCCTGGGGTCTAGGGTTCCCTGTACGTTGATGTACGATGCCACCTGTGGGGTCGAGACGGTGAGAAGCTATGGATTATCGATGCGTGTGTGTGTGTGTGTAAACTCGTCTGATGATTTTAATGAATAATTATTACTCTTACTATTATAAGTAGTAGTAGTAGTAGTAGTAATAACGCCAACAAACAACAACCGACAGCTTTACCCCCCAGACCAAACCCAACACGGGGTTATAACAACAACACCCTCAGACGTACCTTCTCTATAAACGTGGGCTGTAGGTCGTCCCAGGGCATAATACCGTGATCCATCAACTCCAGGAACGAGATCAGGATATTAGGCAGGAGTATGGAGTCGTTCTTCTGCATCTCCATACACGATATTAGGAGACTTATACCCTGAAAGATGTTCGTTTGTTTTATCGGTATTTGGTGTTTGTTTATCGATGTTTTTCGGTGTAATGGAAGATGATAGATGGTGAGGATTTGTTTTTCTCATTGATTTATTCATTTATTTTTATTCATTATTATTTATTCATGTTTATTCTTTTATGTGATATACTCTGTTGTTCCTCTTCCTAACCTAACCTAACCCAACCCTAACCTAACCCAAACCAACCCAACCTAACCCAACCCGACCCTAACCTAACCCAAACCAACCCAACCCGACCCTAACCTAACCCAAGCCAACCCAACCCTACCCTAACCATACCCAAGCCAACCCGACCCTAACCTAACCCAACCCAAGCCAACCCGACCCTACCTGCTTGGAGATAAACTCGTGAGCAAAGGAACTATCGGAGCTTCTCTTAACGAGGCTTTCCAGCGCGTCTCGTTTATCGTCCTGTTGACCCTTCTTCAACTTCTGCAGGATGTCGTCGGCGGTGCGGGATGCCGAGTACACCATGTGGAGCACCGTGCCGTCCTGAGAGCGGATAGACAGTGTGGATAGGGAATGGTATCTTGAAATGGAGATTCTAGTGAGGGTGTGGAATGGTATCTTGAAATATGGATTCTAATGTGGATTCCAGTGAGGGTGTGGAACAATATCTTCAAATGTGGATAATGGTGTGAATTGCAAACCTTCTAGAATGCGGATATCCTTTTAAAAAACAGGAATCAAACCGGAATTTTATATGATGGACAAATCGGTAAAACTCAAAGTAGAAATATCCGCACAGTTACATACTAAGTCAGACTGGGTCACACAAGGTCAGACTGGGTCACACAAGATCAGACTGGGTCACACAAGGTCAAACTGGGTCACACTAAGCCACACCTCACCTTAATGCGGCCTCTGTTCTTCTCCGTGACGTAATGGCAAGTGGGTTCGGTGTACTGCAGAGCGTAATACTCGGGGTTCTCCACTTTCCAATGCGTACACAGCTCCTGAAAGACAACGGAGAATCAGTCTGGTTTAGGGGTCAGTAACGGAAGTAGTTTATCGTTTAGGGGTCAGTAATGGAAGTAGCTTATCATTTAGGGGTAAGTAATGGAAGTAGCTTATTGTTTAGGGGTCAGTAATGGAAGTAGTTTATCGATTAGGGGTAAGTAATGTTAGTAATTTATTGACGTTTCGATACTAGAACGTGCTTTCCTTGTTGTGTTCCTTAGGGTTCTAATATGTCGAAATAATATTGATATTGCTGGTTAATTAATCTTTCAAATACTGTAGG